GATATAATATTACTTTTCCCCGGCCTTAGGAGGCATTACGGCATAGATCTATCAAATGAAATGCTAGATTGAAGTATTTTAATATTTTCTTTATTAAATACATTTTTTTTGTGCTTAAACTGACGTGTAGATCTATCCCTTATAATTCGTCACATATAACTAAAGCCAACAATTATTTTGATATACAATATTCAAGTACAACTTATAAAACGTTTCCAAATATCACATATTACAAGTGCGTGTTGTAGCAGTCAGCTTCCTTCTGCTGCAGCTGCTGCTCTTGCTCCGCTCTCTTCCCCCTCGCTCGAGGCGTACGCAGGCAGCAGGTGCAAAGCCCGCCCAGTACAACCAGCACACAGAAGACGGACAGAGAGAGGGCGACGTTGAGCTGCTTGAGCAACGTAAGGAACGAGGCGGAGAGCAGCCAGACGCGAGCCCACGTGAGCACAGAGAAGGCAAACGGAGCTCGCTTCTCTGCTGGCAGAGATTCGTCCATGCAGGCAGTGAGCATGGCCTGAGCGCAGGAGACGCCCGCCTTGGGCAGAACGGTCAAGCACATCCACAGCATCTTCTCATAGAGCTCTGGCACTGAAAGCGCAAGACTGTAAATCATTTGTCGACAGGCGAAGCCAGCATGAAACACCTACTCTTCACATCGTTCAAAAGCCAGCAGAGGCAGCCCACGCAGCCGCCCACAATGCAGAAGCCGCCCGCCCACTGCCACTTGTGGACGTTGTGGCTGCGGCACAGGTGGACGGCGAGCAGACAGCCCAGAATCTCAGCCAGGCCAGCGAGCATGGTGTTGGGCGTCACATAGTCGCGGCCAAAGCTGCGCACATTTAGCAGCAGGCCCAGGTGGCTGATGAGGAAGGTGGCCAGTGCCATGTGGGTGGCCAGCATGTGCAGCTTGGCACGCGGATGGCCGTGCCACAGCTCCAGCCAGCGCGCGGCTGGTGGCTGCGAGCGCAGCCTCTCGCCCAGCAGTTCCAGCTGCAGGCTGAGATCATCTGGCAGCCTGGAGCAGCGCTCATTAGTGCGAGCTGCCTGCTGCAACAGCTGCTGCACCTGCTCCACTGCAGCCGTCGGATCAGCGCGCTGCAGCAGCCAGCGCGGCGACTCCGGCAGCCAGGGCAGCAGCAGCACAATGACAAGGGGCAGCGAGGTGATGCCCACATAAACCTGACGCCAGCTCTGGGTGAATGCTGCAATGGCGGGCAGCAGCAGGACACCAACGGACCAGGAGGCGTCATAGAGCAGAAGCACGCCCTGCCGGCACTTGCCCGCTGTTATATCGCAAACTGGAAATCATAAAATAAGCAAATAAAATATATT